TGTTCCAATAAGGAAAAGACTGTATCAGAGTGGATAAAAAAAACAAGACCAAAATATGTACTACCTATAAGACATTCTAACATAAGTAATTCCAACATAAAGACACAGGTAAGTTGGAAGTACACAAAACAAGAAAACCCATGTAAACAGGAAGTATCAGAATGGCAGAATGGCCATCTAAGTATCACTTAAACTTCAAGACTAAGTATTAGCAGAGGGAAGAATTTCATACTGATTAATACAGAAAGATACATCTAAATGTGTACAGGCCTAATTAGAAAGTGTCCAAATACAGGATGCAAAAATTGACAGAATTAAAGGGAAAAATTTTTAATTCCACAATTCTCTTAAAATATCCTAAAACCCCTAGCTAAACCTAGCCACTGCCTACCGCCACATCTCTCCTCCCCCCCATTCCTTCCAGATCTATTTACGCACACATACTTTCTTCTTGCCAGTGGGCTAACTCCTCTTTTCTGCTTCCAAATCTTTGCATACACTGTTCTCTCTGCTTAGAACAATTTCATTTCCTTCTTGGGTGACTTCCACTTTCACTCCAAATGTCCCTTCTTCAGAGATGCTTTCCCTGTTGATGACGTGTTTTCAGAGCCCATCTGTGGTTGCACTTCATTATCTTTCCTTCTCTATCTCTCTCTTTTTTTTTTTTTTTTTAATTTGAGGGACATCTGGGGCACCTGGGTGGCTCAGTCATTAAGCGTCTGCCTTTGGCTCAGGTCATGATCCCAGAGTCCTGGGATCAAGCCCCACATCGGGCTCCCTGCTTGGGCAGAAGCCTGCTTTCCCTCTCCCACTCCCCCTGCTTGTGTTCCTAATTTCACTATCTTTCTCTCTGTCAAATAAATAATAAAATCTTAAATAGATAGGTAGATGATTGATTGATAGATTTGAGGGACCTCTGAGCTGCTCTGAAAAAAGAGAGCTAGGGACAGAAACAAGTACAGAATGAGAACAGCTCCCCCGTTGGAACAGGAGAAGACACAAAGGTAGTCCTAGAATTTTTTTTTTTATTTTTTAAAGATTTTATTTATTCATTTGACAGAGAGAGAGAGATCACAAGTAGACAGAGTGCCAGGCAGAGAGAGAGGGGGAAGCAGGCTCCCTGCTGAACAGAGAGCCCAATGTGGGACTCAATCCCAGGGCCACGAGATCACGACCTGAGCCAAAGGCAGAGGCTTTAACCCACTAAGCCACCCAGGCGCTCCAAGAATTTTTTTTAGATAGAGAAGGTGGTAGTGACAAAGGAAGAAAAGTTGGTTCATATTAATCAGATGACTTGATCTCCATGTTTCGGTGAGTTAGGAAGCTGGGAGTGAGCAAGGGAAGGGAGCTGGAGTGATAAGTAGCCTGAATATTTTACTGTGCTGAGCTTCTGTTACAAAGAGTCCGTCCGTCCATCCATCCATTCATTCCACAGCATGAAATATCATCAAGAAGATATAAAACTTCTATTAAATCTAGATGGGTTGCTGGGCTGCCCCTTTCTGTAGATGAAAATAGGTAGAATCCCAGTCCCCTAGGGAACAGTACACTGGTTCCATGTAGTTAGAACTACAACTTCAGGTAAGCCCTTATGTGATTTGGAGTAGGAGAGGGGGGACAGAGTATTAAAAGCATGTTTATATCATGTCATGCTGAATGAGACTGGCACATTTGAATCTGGCTATGATACTGTTGAAAAGTTTGGGAGGAATCTGTAGGAAGTAGGAAGGACTCCCACCAAGGTATACCAGAGACCGGCATTCATACAGCATGCTGCCTTATTTTTATCAGTCATGTGTAAACATACAGGCAATCAGCAACTAAAAAACATAGAAAAAATTATCTGCACTGTGCACTAAAAAATAAACTGTAACTGGCGCTATGGTCTTGGGTTCATCTTGGGTTCACTGAAGTACGTATTGTTTAATATCCACTGAGAAGAGAAAGCCCAAGCTTCTTGTCAGCCCACTGGACAGACACTCAAAAGACTCAAAATAACCTAAGAAAAGGCAAGATTTCTCCAGCAACAAGGGGCTCTTGAGGTAGTAATCTCCAAAATTACATCATCAATGCAAAGAAAACAAACATGCTCAGTTTGCCCTATGACCGAACATTACTATTTTAATTCAAACCATTATTTGAAAAATCATACATAATCTAATGAAATATTTCTGGATTAATAATGGTTAACTATTTACACAATAATTCTGAATCTTTGAAAAAATATTTCTGAAATCACCACATTTACATTGATCTTTTCAAAAAATACAACATCAAATACGGTGATATAAACAATTTTCACCTCCCTCAATTATAAAATCATACCAAGAACAAAAACAGCTCACTCTTTAATTAGTAATTATTATGAATATTATATACAAACCAGTATGCTAAACATGGAATATAAAAATCCTACTAATAAGGAGTTGATTGTTCAGTTGAAAGATAAGATGTACGCATACATAATGCTATATAAAGCACAGAAGAGGCAAGTGTCCAAGGAAAGGACAACAGGAAGCATGACAAGATTTCAAAGATGTCCTAAATATAAAGGACATTATTGCAACAACTGGCAACACTTGACTGGGATCTGAGGATTAGATGATATTAATATTATCAAGGCCAATTCCCTAATGGTTGCGTTGTGGTTAAAGGTATGCTTATTTGTAGGTAATATGCACCAAAGTATTCAGGGATAATGGGGCCTAATGTTGGTAATGTATTTGCAAAGGATGGAAAAAAAAAAAAAGTTCTTTGTACCACACCTGCAACTTGCAACTTTATGGCATCTTTGAGATTGTCTCAAAAGCCAAAACAAATTTTAAGATGATGATTGTGAGTAAAGTAGTATCATTCTGAGTTTTACAACTAAAAAGTAATCTCCATTAATTCTTGTTTGCTTGTAAACACACAGGTATTTATTCTGCTTTACTTGGCAGAACCCTGAGACCCTTGAGGAAGAGGTTCAGTTTTACTCTAATTTACGTGGCGCACAACTTTTTTTGCCCTTTTGTAACCTGCTAAATGGAAAGAATATGGCTGACGCTTGGAAAACGGTAATGAGGGTTTAAAATGTCCATATTTTGAGAATTGTGGGTCATTAAGAAAACCACAAATTTAACCAGTTCCAGCTAATTCTCATTCAACTTTCACAAGAATGATGGTAAGAAATTAGACACAGGGGTGCCTGGGTGGCTCAGTGGGTTAAGCCTCTGCCTTCGGCTCAGGTCATGATCTCAGGGTCTTGGGATCGAGCCCCACATCGGGCTCTCTGCTCAGAAGGGAGCCTGCTTCCCTCTCTCTCTCTCTGCCTGCCTCTCTGCCTACTTGTGATCTCTCTGTCAAATAAGTAAATAAAATCTTAAAAAAAAAAAAAAGAAATTAGACACAAATTCTGGGTAGCTATCTAGTTTATTCAGAGCTAGAAATTTGTATTTCATGAAATTAATTTGTTCTAAAAGGATAAAAACTGCCAAATAAAATACTCTAAATCACCACAAATTAAACTTCCCTCATAAATACACTTGTCTCCCATTTCTGTATTTTTTTCTGTATATATTTCTACACATGGATATACCAGATTAAGATATTCATGTCTTCATACAATATACAAAACACATGTATACACACACATATAAATTGTGTATATACATAAGCACTTGTATATATGTACAAGTAAGAAAAACAGTTACCCATATATCAACACCAGACATCATTATGATATGTTGAAGAAATTACTTTCCCTGGTATTTCCTCATTTCTTCCATAGGGCTCTCCTGGTTGGGGGAGAGTTGATATCAAAGATTCAAGAGAAATGAAAACTCTCTGTACCTCTAAATGGATATATTTTAAACACCTACTTCACTGGGACACTAATATACTAATATATTAAATACATATTTATTTTTTCCAGTTTTCCATCATGTACTGACAACTACATAATCAACCATCAAACCTCCGTCTCAGTCTCCATTAATGAGTCCGTCTAACTGAACCCCTGTGTTCACCGGGCTGACCAGGCACCAACTCTACACGTGATCAACAGATTCTATATGAGGCACCACAAGAAAGATCTTCTCCTACAAAGGTCTAAACTTCATAGGGGAGACCCCATATACATGTATTTTAAAAGTACCAAGTTCAAGAGTGACAAGTATACAAGAATACAATGTTCCCAAGGGAGCAGTCAGGGAAGGAAGTCTGTATCCTATTGACTATGTGTTTTCCAGAGCCGGAAAGTTCCTTGACTTGGGGCTGAAAAGTCAAGGACCAAGGCCATGCCCCTTAAACAAACAGAGGCTTAAATACCAGGTACAGCACAGGCAAGAGTAGAAACAAAATGGAAAAAAAAAAAAAGAGAGCGAGCGCAAGAGTTCAAAGACACCAGCTACAAAACAGGGCCACAGTGAGACTTTCTCCTAAATATAATCAGAAGCACTATAAAGGCCCTGATAAGGTAATCACATTCTTACCATGTGAATTAGTGCTATTCAGTTTAGAGAAACGGAGCCAGAGTGAATTAAACCCCAGCCATACCACATTCGCTGTGTGATTTTTGAAGGAGTCCCCTGACCTTACTATGCCTCAACTTCCTCATATGTAAAATGGAGATAATAATTGAACCTATCTAGAGTTTTCGGGGGAGATTAACTGAGTTAGTTAATCAGAGTTAAACTAATAACACTGATCACACTGTTAGTTAAACAGTGCTCAGCTCAAATTAACCTCTACCTAAGTATTGACTATTATATGTCAAAAGAGGGATTATGAATGACCTCACACACAGCGTGCTCTGAACCACCATCTTTGAAATTATGAGACCACACATTTGTTCAGTAGGTTTCTTAGAAAGTATTTTACCTAACTTATACTTAAGTAAATTCAGTGTACCTAGATCAATTCTTCTTAAAGGACATTAAGGCAATGAGTCTAGATGTACATACTGGCAAGTATTGCATATGTATTATATACTCACACATAAATTTCCTTCTATTACTCACATTCTCATAGAGAGCTTGAAGGGTCTCCAGATCAACCACAGAATTGTCCAAGTTCACAACAGCTGTGGAAAAAAAATACAAAAGAAAATATATAAATTGCCGTTTAAGCCAGCTGTAAAAAGGTGTCTGACCATCTTGAACAACAGTGATCATCTCCAGAATAGTGTTCTACCTTCAACACACTCACTGAACTCTACTACCAAGACTGTGTCCGAGGAATTTCAGCAGGGGTAAAGTGTAAAGCTTTCATCTGTCCCTCAAATACAAAATCCCATGAATATGACCCAGTCAAAGGTCAAAGATAAAATCTGAGTCTATCTATCTTTCAAGGTCCAACTGCATGAATTTGAAAAATTTGCTGAACACTAGAAAAAGGGGCTAATCACTCCCGTTACTGCTACATCTCATTTTTTGAGATAAATACTTATATCTGCCCATTCTTAGACTTAGGACAAAAGTTACATTTAATCACTAAACGAAGGACTTAATATAAAAATGAAAGATGCATTTTCTGTTATAATTCTTTACATGGTTATGATCAAAGGACAATGCATTGACAATGGTATTGAGAGTAACACAGAGGCACCCTTAAAAATCCACTTTTTAAGTAGGCTTCACGCTCAGCGTGGAACTCAACATGAAGCTCAAACTCACGACTGTGAAATAAGCCAAGATCAAGTTGGACGCTCAACTGACTGAGCCGCACAGGCGCCCCAAATCCATTCCTCCCGTACAAACTGCCCATGCTTATGTACGGAAAAAATGGGATGAATATTCAAAAACTGGGTATATGTTCTTAAATGCACTTTTAGCCTGAGAAGCATGTTGGATTTTGAAGTATGTTTTGTAATTCAGTTTGGGCACAAATTAATCAAAAACATTCTGCATTACCTACATCTATATTAGCCGGAAATGATGTGAATTTGCCCTGTTCAGATTTGTGCCAACTAGCCAATGAAAGTCCTATAGGATCAAAGATTTCTGGGAGAAAAATCACGAAGTAGATAATCACAAATTGGTTAGGTTTATTTTGATAATTGAGGCATTTCACACTGTCTTTTCTCTCAAAGCCTAAAGTACATGAGACATAGTCTAGTTGACTCTGGCAAAATACCAAGAAGGAATTTAAAAGGACAATGGGAAATTGAAGCGTATGACGGATGAGACATCTAAACAACATAATGTAGCATTTCTGTTTGGAGCTGGGAACAGAGCCCAGATTCACCAACAAATATCACAGTAAGTAGAATATGATACTTCCACCCTAATAATATTTTACTCTCCCCATTTCCAACAAGTTACGTCTCAAATATCAATCTAAGAATTTGATGAAGATTTTCATTCAAATGTTTTCACTCCTTGACCACATAAGGCAAACATATCACAATCTGTTTAAGGACTCCAAGCAGAAAAACCAACCCAACTAACTTCTGACTATATTTCAGAAATTAATTAAAAGGGATTAATAAATGGATTTTCACTGGAGGTAAAATGCCTATAATGTAACAAAATGCATAAAACCCAAATAAAGATAGCAAATTCATGTGTGGAATTACCCCTTTGGACTTTGTCTAGGCCTTAAAGAAAATCTTGCAGTGAGCCCAAAGATCTCTGACTTTGGAAAATTCATTAGATAATAATCCAGTATTTCTACATTCCTCCGGCGATACAGCAAAAGATTGATGGGAAAACAAAGAAAGAAATGCAAGTCGTCAACTTAGTTTAAGATTTCATTCTCGGAACAAGGTAAAGACACAAAAAAATCATTCATCCTCAAGTCAAAACTCTTTATAAAAGATACAATTGTCCTCTGACATTATCCACCGTTTTTAAAACACACTATTCCTACAAGTGTTCCCCACCTGCAACTTCGTGCGTATACTGCGGTTTCTCATCTGTTTATCTCGCACAATGTCAGAAACTAAAGAACATCTTAATAAATGCCACGTGGTCCTAATCGTAGGTATATGGTCCTAAGCAAGACCTCAAAAGTTCCTAATCCATGAAACCTCACTTTTTAGTCATCCACACGGAAACCTCCTTGGAAAAAAATACTGTTACTATTCTTCCACACAATTTTCTCTCACTTGGCTTTACACTTGAGAGACACTAACACGATTTGATGGGAATCGCAGTTTCAAGAGAACAATATAGTCACGCTTGAGTAGCTGAAAATTAGAGAAGACTAGATACTGGCGGGTGAATGGATGGAATGAGAGACATTCTAGATGGGAAATAAAGGCCAAAGAAGTCATCTGGGAACAGTGAAAGTTACTGAGGCGCCGCATGCTCTCCATTTGAAAATCATGTTTTAGCACTTCAGAGATCGAGCCTTAGACTAAAATTCCTATCTTACTAAATATTTAGTGGTATCTTCTAGTGCTCCCTCCCTTAAAATCTACATGTTTCAACTGATAAAATTCTAAAATCAAGGAAATAAAACAATGCATTCACTCAGATACGCAATAATATGTCAAGTGCCTTATCATTCAGGGACTCTACAAGCTTACCACCTGGTTAACCATTACTCAAAAAACACTGACTTGAAACGGGAACTAATTAGATGTGGATGTTCTTAAGGACTCAGGCTTGAAAGCCTGAGGTCGACTGAACGTACAGAGACCACTCCAATCCGATGTCTAGGTACGGCCATGCTAAGGAATTCACAGAAATAGAAATAGAAATACATTTTCTTAAGGTGGCAAAAAATTCAAGGAAAAAGCATCTCACAAATTCCTTGAGTACATGTGCCAAGTTTCAACCTTCCTTGAAAGGAAAATGTTTTGTTTTGTTTTTACGATTTTATTATTTGGCAGAGAGAGACACAGTGGGAGAGGGAACACAAGCAGGGGGAGTGGGAAAGGGAGAAGCAGGCTTCCCATTGAGTGAGTAGCCTGATAGGGGGCTCGATCCCAGGACCCTGGGATCATGACCTGAGCCAAAGGCAAACGCTTAACGACTGAGCCACCCAGGTGACCAAAAGGAAAATACCTTTTTTAGAGATTATTTCAAGGTGATAATTTCTCTTTCCCCCCAAAAGGCAATACTTTTTATTTTTATTTTTTTATTAATAATTTTTTAATTTATTTGTAAACATATAATGTATTATTAGCCCCAGGGGTACAGGTCTGTGAATCGCCAGGTTTACACACTTCACAGCACTCACCATATCACATACCCTCCCCAATGTCCATAACCCCACCACCCTCTCCCGACCACCCCCCCAGCAGCCCTCAGTTTGTTTTGTGAGATTAAGAGTCTCTTATGGTTTGTCTCCCTCCTGATCTCATCTTGTTTCATTATTCTTTTCCTACCCCCCAACCCCCCACGTTACATCTCCATTTGCTCATATCAGGGAGATCATATGATAGTTGTCTTTCTCCAACTGACTTATTTCACTAAGCATGATACCCTCTAGTTCCATCCACGTAGTCGCAAATGGCAAGATTTCATTTCTTTTGATGGCTGCATAGTATTCCATTGTGTATATATACCACATCTTCTTTATCCATTCATCTGTTGATGGACATCTAGGTTCTTTCCATAGTTTGGCTATTGTGGGCATAAGGCAATATTTTTTTATGGGATGGTTTACTGATGGAGAAGGAACACAGAACATGGAATCGAACTTAACTGGGTTTCCATTTTTCTTCGCAGCCGCATCACTTCAAGTAAGTTACTTGACAAGTTCTAGTTTCTTTAGGGGGATGAGGTGAGGGGAAAAGGAAATCAAAGAAAATACTGGCAAGATTTTGGGTTTCGTGGGGACCAAAGGCAGGAGCAAGTAAAAGGATCTAGCATGTGGTTGGTTAATGATATTTCCCTCTTCAAGTTTTCACAACAGTTCAACCCTTCTAGCGCTAAGACGCTTTATTATCTAACTCGAGTTTAAAGTTTCTTTTTTGTTTTTTGTCCAATTTGTGTTTTGTGCCCTCATAAACCAAACAGAAAAATTCCACCTGTATCTACTAAGGGCTGTGCTCTCACCTAAACGATGAACTATCACAACTGAATGGCAGCCTGGCTTACCGCTACAGGGTATCGTTCATCATACTCTGTCTCCTTCACTTGGCGTTTAAACCGTTAGGCGTTAAGACGCAGATTTCAGAACACAAATAAATCCCAAATTTGGAAGGATACTCAGTGATAAATCTTTCAGATTACTTTTTTTTCTCTAACATTCAACTAGGTGCTAATGGGATTATACTTCAGATAAGAGACCAACTACTTCACACTCATTTCTTCCTCTCTGCTGTAAGAATTTTGGGAGCGCCATCATTGTCTGGGACTCATCACACTTCCTACCCAGACACTCCCCTGCAGGTCTACCAAGCAGTTTTCATGGTTTCCCCATAAGATATATATGAATTTGTTACTTTGAATTTAGCCAAGAAGCACCTGTTCTGTTTTTATGTAGAAGAGTGTAAGGACTAAGAAGATGTTGAATAGAAATTCTCTTTTGCATGTTAAGAGATCATTAATTTATAAAGTACACAGACTTTTCAGGATTAGAACATATGGAGGTTTTTACCACTCTCTTTAAACAACCTATAAAGGACCGTGTGTTAATAATCACTCCAGACCAAAATGGATAGCATTTTTGTTTTATTTTTAAGCTTAAACTTTTATAAAATGCCAAGGATGTGATAATTAAGTAGAAGAACATGGTACCCTTTCTGGTTTTTCTACCAACAGGCTGTGTACGGTTGATCTAAGCTTCTCTGAGACTTTTATCAAGTGAGATGATGACTTTTGTCTGTAGCATATGTTCATCATGTGGAGAAAATAAGCAACTTTAGAGTAAGAAGGATAATTCAAGAAGCCTTGGAATAATTTGTGTAATTAATTTCAAAACATGTATTATCTGTGAACATACTGGTTAGAAACTGGAGACAGGGCTGGCAATGTGTTAGATTAAAATTAGGTTCAGGATTAAACATTTGCTTTCAATAATCAGAAGTTAAGACCATAAATAGTTCTTTAATTCATGAATTCCTCTGGCACACACTTGCTGATTCCCAACGCATTTCTCGTTAAACCACGATGTTACAGAATGAAGAGC